TTTATTTAGGTAAAACTAAGAATAGTATACACTTTAAATATTTCTATAGCATTTTTTTGTAGTTTGATTTTTATTGTTATTGACCAAAAGATCGTTAAAAAGAATTGCTTATCTATATTAATATAACAAATAAAAATTTTTATAAATAATAATTTATTTATTTAATATTATTTTTAGGGTATTATTTTATAGCAACTCATCGCCATGGCAACCCTGTGATCGACCAATAAAAATCGATCACGTGAATCATATGCTCGATTGATCAAATCAACCAAACACGTGATTCATGTGATCGATTTTTATTGGTTGATTATATCACTACTTTCTACACAGGTAATACAAGAATTCGAACATGCGTAAAAGAAGAAAAAAGTGAAAATATGCAAAAACTAATATTTAAATCAATATTAGTGCACTAATTAAAAATAACAAGAATAAAAATTTACATATAAGAAGTATCATTCTAACCCTATAGTCTCTAATGTTAAGGCCCTAACTCAAAATTTTTATCTCATGTATTTAGTTTATTTACAAAATCAGATTTTGTATTACCTGTGTATGTAATATGTAAATGCTTTTTTTCATCCTTTTCAACTTCTTTCCATGTTCGTAACAATAGCCGAGCAAATAATTTCAACCTGAATTGTTTGTATCTAGAAATATACGAAATATAATTACTTGTTGTGTATCGAAATTTAGAATAGAATTTAGAATTTTTTTTTTTTTGTAACTACTTAATGCAGATGTATTCATATTTATTTACTCAAGCCTAACAAAACTCAGGCATTCTTAGAACCGTTTATTTAAAGATTCTTTATTACATGTGCATAATTTTATTATTAAAAAAAAAAAAATGATATACAAGCGAAAAATCTAGCTAAATATAAAATAACTGCTATAAGAAACAAATATAGGAACGCCTATAGCAAAAGCAGGAGATGTGACTATATATTATATAGTTCTATCCCTGCTTTTGCTATGGGTGTTCCCATATAACAAATTAAAAGGATTATAACCACCAAGAATTTCGTCAGTACCTTAACCTCAAAAAATCCATCACCAAGCTTTTGAATATTCTCTAATTTATTAAAAGAAATCTACTCAATTACATCTTCATATTCTATAGATTTAAGTTGAAATTCTTTAATACAATCATCGATATCCTTATTTTTACACATCCATCCTTGCGTAGGAAACAACAAAGATTCGATTTCAACGTACACAACCCACTGAAAAAATGATGAGCTTACAGAAAAAGCCACAACGAACCTTCAAAAAAAATCTACGAATATTTGCCAGAAGAAATACAAACTTACCGAAAGCACCTCAGAAAGACTACGAAGAATCAAAGAGCGACGATGAAAGAACACACCGAAGAAAAACAATGAATTAATAAACTTAAAAAAAACTCTAGACACCAAAATACGAAAAGAATAAAAAATGGCTAAGCTATCTGAATTATATGACTTCATGACCTCTAATCCAAGGCTTTAACAATAGCTTCAACGATGGCTCCAAGACTTCAACGACAGCTCTAATGACAGCTTCAAGACTTCAATAACAGCTCCAACGATGACTCCAAGGCATCAACAATAGCTCCAACGATGACTTCAACGATGGCTTCAGTAATGGCTCTAGCAATGACTCCAGTAATAGCTCTAGCAACGACTTCTAAAGAGAAAAAAAAAAACTAGTTATTAATAAATTAAAAACAAAAACAAATACAAAAAAAAACAATGATTATCAAAAGGATAATCATTGTTTATATATGATCGGCAATCTGTAAAATGATTGGCCGATCATATAAGATCGCCATGGCGATGGGTCACTATCAGGGACCCGGAAAAATTTGGATATCAAATTGCAAAAATTTATTTGGATATCGGCAAATATTTGGATAAAATT